AGTTACAAACCAATAAAGGAACCCCTTTTTAAATCTGAAGTTCTGAACCGTAATTTTAACATGAGAATATATATAGTGTTCGTTTATCTTTTTCCCCCAAGAGTTTGATACCCCCTTTTTTTAATGTGATAAAATCTTACATTGTTTGTGACTAATAACTCTAATTTTCTGACAGGAAGGACTTCCATGTATTCAAGAATTTATATATGGTTGTGATGGATTATGAATATCATCACTCACATACAAAATATGTTTGAGCCTTAGTGTGGTTATCTAGGTTCTGTTGATAGTTGAGAGACCTCCTAAACAGCATGATGTGTGGCTCTGGTTGGTGGATTGAATAGTACACCCATCTACAACTTTGTTGCATTGAAATTGCATGCTATTTAGTATATAAAAACAAAATCACAAACAAATTCAAGTGTAGTGCAGCCATCTTCACATACACACAATTATGGAAATGTAGTTTAAATGTATGGTGCTATAAGAAAATATACTTAGTAAATAAAAGTACATTGTTATTTACTGCATTTTGATCCAAAATAGGTGAAATGCAAGAAATATCATTGTACTTCCATTTAATTGAATATTAAAGATTTTTACTTTCATAAAGATTTGATTCGAAAAATGCAACTTCACTTCTGCCGAAATAAGTTCAACTCACAGTGTCACATGTCGTTAATGAAAGATTATTTGCTCACAACTTATTGAACCCTTGGTTACAATTTCCATAGGAAGCTTGGAGCATTTACCAACCAGCATTAAGGTTTGGATGTTGGGATAGCTTTGATTGGACTACCTATCATCACCAGCTTCTAGGCCCATCACCACCAGCTACGTTGGCACGACAAGCACCTGATATTAGAAGAGTCGTAGGTCATTCAAAAAAACCATTACCATAGTCCCATGTTAATGAACATAGAAGTACAAGTAACTAACTGCTTCTAAACAAACTATATATATATATATATATATATATATATATATATATATATATATATATATATATATAGTATTTTACTTGTATCTTTCAAACAACGGTAATAGCCATAACTCATCCACTAAAATTCACCATTTAAGGATCAGGTTGTGCCCTCTTGTTCATCAGAACCTGAATTCAAAAAATAGACACTTTTATATCAGCTTAGTAGAAGTAAGCAAACAACAATTTTACTAAATTTGATGGTCATTTGTTTACAAAGGTTGGGGTTTTACAATAACTTCAATTTAGTGAATTTTGAAGCTTGTTGGATGACTTTTATAACTAAATACGATGCGTATTTTTACGTAAAGATAATCTTGAAGGTAGATTCCTAATCGAATCATAAATTGGTTCTAACCCTTGTTATGATTGCTTCTTCTCTATAGTACCCAAAGAAGCTTGCATAAGATCAAAATAAAAATAACTACAGAAATTTATACAACCTTATAAATTAGATGTCAAGAACCTCATTTTTTCCTAGCATATTTGTAATCATCTTTCTAAAAATAGTAGCAACGCTAACAGAAACAAATAAAAGTAAAATCCCATTTATTTTTTAGTTTAAAAATATACACAATCGGTTTCATACTTTTTAGATAAAGATTAAAAAATATGTCCTACACCCATACACTTTTAATTTTAAGTGCTTGCAAGCAGTTCTAGGAGATGTCTTGTATAAAAGAAAAAAATTGACATATAAATTAGTAGGAATAGTTATGATTCCATCAGAAAATTGATTTTACCTTTATGGAAGTGCTGGCAGGAACCATGGCTGCTTTCGGCGCCTTATCTAATATTATCACATATTCTGTTAGCAAGTTGTAGAAAGAGGTGTTATGACAATAAACTAAAATACAATATCTTCAAATCAAAGTAGTTTAAATTATACCAAATACAACTGTTGATTGCTCAATTTAACTAAAGAGTATTGTTGACCAGAAGATACAAACATCAAGTTGTTCTTAGATTCTAAGCCACTTAAGACAAGATAACAACACCACAATTGCAATAAATAAGCTTCCATTGTGTCATCTACTTCTCAAAGCAATTCCAGCAAGAGTTGTGCCAACACGTAGTCTACAAGATGACTGCAAATTACCCCTAAAACAAATTGAATGAACGTTTGAAATTTACGCATCATAGTGGCAAATCAGTAAACATTAGTGTAAAAATTGAGTTAAAACAAAAGGAACTTGAAAAGGTAAAGGATTTTAATGAGACTACCTAAAGAGTGAACTTCATGCTATGTTATCAAAAAACCCTAGATTTTAGAAAATCCCAATCATACATGCAATTGAAGTTAAAACCTAATCAGAAAAAGATAAATTCAAAGAAATGAGAAAACGTAAATAAGAAAGATAGAGGGTGACTGGTGTGCGTGTGTGCGAATAAACAACATAAAGAGAAAGAGATATATTTGAGCGTATGGACAAAATCAGAAAGATATAAACAAAATCAGAAAAATATAAACAAAATCGAGCCAATATAAACCACAAATTTCAGAAAATCTCAATCATACCTGCAATTGAAGTCATAAACAAAACCAGAAAGATATAAAGTCAAAGAAATGAAAAACCAAAATAAAAAAGGTACAGACAACATAAAGAGGGTGTGTGTATGTATTAGATGAACAAATGAGAGAGATATGCAGGTGGCAGAAGGGAAGACTGATGGTGAGCAGTGACAGGGTGGAGATGTGAGCACCGTTATATCTGCACAACCCATGTACATGGAACCCCGAATTTCATTTATACCCAACAAAATCCTGTTATTCCATAAAATCAAAGGAAAACTTGAATAAAAAGTAAGCACACGAACCTGGAAATCAAACAAACAACCGATAATGGCGTTTGAGCCGAGTGGTACCTGGAAATCAAACAAACAACCGATAATGGCGTTTGAGCCGAGTGATGGTGGTTGTGAACATTGTTAGGGTTAGGGTTCTCAGAGGCGACGACTTTGATGCGATGGTGATGAAAGTTTATCATTGCTTGATTATCGAAAGTATCGGTGAAGCTTCCCATTTGTGGTGGTGTACTCAGCGGTTGATATCACCGAACATAGAGAAAATAGAATCGAGATATATTTGCACAGATCTCCGGATTTAACATAGACTCAGTCATGGACGATTAAAAGGGCTGAGTCAATTTAATATTATTTTATTCATAACCGTTTGTACTTTAAGCTTAAAGATTTGAACGTCTTAAAAAAATATTATTATTATATTGAATCTATTTATAGAAATAGTGAGATTTCTTTTATAAGATAGTAAAGATATATATATATATATATATATATATATATATATATATATATATATATATATATAAACCAACAAACTTTGGGCGTAAAGTTATAACTAAACATTGTAGTTAGGGATAAAAGATTCAACATATAAATTAGATGGAAATAAAGTTTGGGTTTATATGAAAATTTTCAAAATTTTCATTTTACTTTTTCAATTAAATCAATTAAAAACTGAGCATTAATATTTTTTCCAAGAAATGAATGATATTGCATTAATTAATGTTTTATAAAATTTAACACAAAAAATATAAATATAAGACAATATTAAGATTTTTTTTTCATGTCTATATAACAGCTCCAATAAACTTATTGTAATTAAATCTTTATTATAAATTTGTCACAAATTTCATGACTGTGTCGTCGAACCTTTTTTCTTTTAGTATTGTAATTTTTTTTATTACATTTTTTTATAATAAATAAAATTGGAATAATCGAAGTTAAAAAAAACAAAAATATATGTGTTTTTTTAGACTAGAAGATATGTGGACGAACAGACATTTTTAGGCCTACAGTCTTTAAAAAAATAAACAATCTATAAAACATAATGTCTGCGAAATATAATGTCTACATGGTCTGCTTACAAAAAACAAACAACACCTAATCAATATCCCTCTCGCTATATATAAAAAAAATTAAGAGATAATTTTTAACTTAGGTAGTGTTTGTTTTTTGTCTGCAGATCTGCGTGACCTCTTCTGTCTGCGCCGCACAGACCACGCGCAAACATTAGCCTTCGCAGACTGTTTGTTTTTTTGAAGACTGCAGACCTAAAAATGTCTGCGCGCCCTCTTCTTGGCGCAGATGTGGACCAGAGTCTTCTAAGATCCTCAGACATCTTCTAGCCTAAAAAAACATATATATCTTTATTTTTTTTAGTTTTTTTTAATTTATATTTTTTCAAACTTTATTAATGATAAACAATTTGAAAAAAAAATTACAAAACTTAAAAAAAACATTCGACGATACAAACATGATACTTTTGACAAATTTATAAATAAAGATTTATTATATTAATAGTCGTTGAAGTTGTTTATATAAATATGAAAAAAAATCATAATATATTCTTATATTTTTTTGCCAAATTTTGTAAAACATTATTTAATACAGTATCGTCAATTTCTCGAGAAAATATTTATGGTACGTTTTTAATGGATTTAATTGAAAAAATCGAAGTTTATTTCTATCTATTTATGTATCAAATTCTTTGATCAGTAATTATAATGTTTAGTTATAACTTTGCAACCAAAGTTGTTGTTTTTATCAAATATATACGTTAATTTATACTATTTTTATTTTTAATTTTTATACAATAATACATAAAAGTTGATCTAGATCCGTTAATTATTTATAACAAAGTCATAAAAATATTAAAAAATCACTTTGAAATTAAAAAAAATCAGTTTATTTAGATTTCAGTTTATTTTAGTAGCCCGCAGATGTTAAAAAAACAGTCTTCGTTTTTCAAACTGCAGACGTTTGGTCCACCTCTTTTACTACAGAGGTCTACACCTCTTCTACTACAGAGGTCTACAGATGTGGTCCGCAAACTGCAGATATTTTGCCTCAGAAAAAAACAAACAACACGTTAATCAATATCCCTTTGTTCTATACGAAACAGAAAGGGACCAAAAGTTACATATCACAATAAGAACAAATTAACCATAAATAACATATAGACAATGAAACGTCATCCACATTAAAGTATTAAACCATGAAACACCTCCCACCTCCAGAAACTCCATTGATATGCATGAAGCTATATACACACACAATCGACGTTTTCAATCTCTCAAAAACCCACAGTCGACACAGACTCTGCAATAGTTAATTATTGAAGGAGATGAAAATACCTACAAAACCCATATCCAGTCCTGGAAGAGCAGACGATTTCCCACCGCCATTGATGATGTTTCCAAGAAGCAAAAGCAAGAGAGGAAGCAGGTCACGGGCTAACCCTATGTTTTTTCGCAAAAATCAACACTACTAACGATCCTATCCAGGAACCGTCTTCCCCTAAGGTCACGTGCATCGGCCAAGTCCGAGTCAGTCGCTCAAACAACAAGCAACCAACCACCACCACAACCACAACCACCGCCTTCCGCAGTTGTCGATGGCTTCAGAAACTCAAATCCGGGTGGTTCCAACGCTTTTGGAGAACAAACTTATCGTTTTTTCGATGTGACTGTTGCAAAAAATCTGAGAACTTACCGGAATCAAAACGGATTGAAGTGAATCAGGCAATTGAGTACCGGACACGCGAAATTGAAGATGTAATCGGACCTGATAATGTAAATTTGATTCCAGAATCGCCGCCGAGAAATGCATTTTTGTTGACGAGATCCAGCTCTGCTCCCTACAGATCTTCATCTTTGGCATACAAATTTTGGGAATCAATAACGGAGAAAACAGCGGTGGATACTGAAGATGATGAAACGGGGGAGAAAGTGAAAGAAGGTGAAGGTATTAATGGAAAGAATGAAGATGAAAGTTTCTTTAATGCAGGTGAAGAATTTAAAGCGGAGCCACTGAATTTGAGCAGGTGTAAATCTGAACCAGCCCGAATTGGGGATAAGTTTTTTACGAGTTTCAGTTCATAATTTCACAGGTTTTTTTTTTCCTTAAAATGTTAATATTAAACGACACAGTTTCGCACAGCTTTTGCCTTTTGTCCTACGCAACAGGTGTTGATTATGATGACTCTTATTAATTACTTTTGTGAATATGTTTACCGATAAAGTTTGATGGATATTATATTTCTACAGAAATGAAACTCAAATAGTGATTG